ACGGCGTGCACTTTTTCGACATCGCAACTTCCAAGAGTGGTCCGACATTGGTGTTTGTACATTTTGACTTCGAAATGTGCTTCGCGCCACAACGGCGTGCACTTTTTCGACATCGCAACTTCCAAAAGTGGTCCGACATTGGTGTGTTTTGTACATTTTGACTTGGAAATGTGCTTCGCGCCACAACGGCGTGCACTTTTTCACATCTCAACTTCCAAAAGTGGTCCGAGAATGGTGTGTTTTGTACATTTTGACTTGGAAATGTGCTTCGCGCCACAACGGCGTGCACTTTTTCGACATCTCAACTTCCAAAAGTGGTCCGAGGTTGGTGTGTTTTGTACATTTTGACTTCCAAATGTGCTTCGCGCCACAACGGCGTGCACTTTTTCGACATCGCAACTTCCAAAAGTGGTCCGCTCCTCTAGTGTTTTGTCCATTTTGACTTGGAAATGTGCTTCGCGCCACAACGGCGTGCACTTTTTCATGTCTCATCTGGCCAGCTGGCTCCGCACCCGCCGCTTTAGCGAGCCTACTTTTCGACCCTCCGGAGCCACAAATGATTGGAAAAAACCCACTGAATCGCGACTTTCCTATCTTTTCGCGCATCTACATCTTGTTTCTTCTGATCTTTTCTCTTCTGACTCTTCTCACCTCTGCTTTTCAACTGTCCATATTGTCGGAAGTTTAGCTTCTAAACTTCCTTCGAACATACAATAACTTCACACACACTCACACACACAACTTTATCACATACCATCTCTCACATACCATAACTTCACACACACAAACTTAACATACCATAACTTTCATACACATAAATTTAACATACAATAACTTCACACTCACATACCATAACTTCACACACAAATTTAACATACAATAACTTCACACACACTCACACAAACACACAACTTTGTCACATACCATAACTTCACACACACACACAAATTTAACATACAATAACTTCCCACACACTCACACACACACAACTTTGTCACATACCATCTCTCACATACCATAACTTCACACACACAAACTTAACATACCATAACTTCACACACACTCCGCACACACAACTTTGTCACATGCCATCTCTCTCACAAGGGACGCCGCGGCACTTTGCGCGGCAAGCGTGGCACAAACTTACATCCACCTTCGTTTGCGTGGCAGGCATCTACCATCGTTTCGCGTGGCAGGCGTGGCACTCATGGCACCGTGGCGTGCTTGGGTCTGGTTTGGGCGCGCGTGACGCCGCGGCATTTTGCGTAGCAGGCGTGACACAACCTTACATGCACCTTCGTTTCACGTCAACCTTCGTTTCACGTGGCGGACGTGGCGCTCATGGCACTCCGTGGCGCGCTTGGGTCTGGTTTGGGCGTGCGTGACGCGGCACTTTGCGTGGCAGGCGTGGCACAACCTTACATCCACCTTCATTTCACGTGGCAGGCGTGGCACAATCTGACATCTACCATCGTTTCGCGTGGCAGGCGTGGCACTCATGGCACTCCGTGGCGCTTGAGTCTGGTTTGGGCGCGCGTGCCGCCGCGGCACTTTGCGTGGCAGGCGTGGCACAACCTACATCCACCTTCGTTTACGTGGCAGGCGTGGCACAAACTGACATCAAGCATCGTTTCGCGTGGCAGGCATGGCACTCATGGCACTCCGTGGCGCGCTTGGGTCTGGTTTGGGCGCACGTGACGCCGCGGCATTTTGCGTGGCAGGCGTGGCAGAAGCTTACATCGATCTTCGTTTCACGTGGCAGGCGTGGCACAAACTCACATCTCCTTCGTTTCACGTGGCAGGCGTGGCACTCATGGCACTCCGTTTTCTTGCAGTGTGCTATATGGCCCCGTGTCACCTGCAATGACTTCCTTGTTTTGTTTTAGTTGCTGTTCTTTTGCTTGTTTGGTTTTTGGTTTGTTCTGTTGTGTTTCGTGTTTAGTCGTTTTTTTCATTGCATGGTGACGGCCTTTTAGGACTGTGTACTGGTCCTTCATCAGCACTACTTTTGCGGCCCATCATCAACAAGATGGAGCAATTATAATTCCTTAATTAATGAACATGTTGCATGCCAATGGAACGTGTGGATCGACCTGGCGAAGCCAGGAGCGACTGGAGGAAAAAAAAGGCACTCATGGCACTCCGTGGCGCGCTTGGGTCAGGTTTGGGCGCGCGTGACGCCGCGGCACTTTGCGTGGCAGGCGTTTTTTTTTCCCTCTGTTGCGGCCGATTTCGCTCTGAGGCTCGGTCCTAACATTGGGATAAGCGAGTAAACAAATTAAAAACATCATGAAACTCCTTGGTTCCATAATACCTCGGCAAATCATGAAACAAACGAGAAAAACACACCACCAGAAACGACGACACGCAAATCCCCCGGCCAGATTTGCGTTTCGCCAACAAGCAACAACAGCGAAGCAAACAAGGAAAGGGGCCAGAGCCACAAACGAAACACCCACACAAGAACCACCGGATTTGCCTTGGACACGGAGGGAAACTAACTGGCATTGTCAGTGGCCTAGCAAACAGTGTGAAAAATCCGTGCAACTGCCGATTAAAGAGGCAAATTAGTATATTCTATTGGCGAGCTATACACGCCGGCAGCCTCCTCAGATTCCTCTCAGATGTACTTTTCCAAGCATCCGTAGTGTTCCTCCAACTTGTTCCTTCTTTCTGTTCCGGCCAAGAGAGCCCTGAGGCTCAGTCCGCAGAAATCCACAGAGATCCGAAAACAAGTCTTAGCTCTGTCGTCAGAACAATGTAGGTCAAACGAGATTGTTTGCTGCAGTGCCGTCCCGAAAGGGAACGGCACTACGGGCTCAGACAAAGACTCCGGCAGGGCCAAGCTGCCGGTAAACGAAAACTGAGCGGCATGATAAAAACGCCACCTCAGTGAAAACGTCATCAAATTCTGCATGCTGAGGGGGCAAAAGCGATTGCAACGTAGCTCTCACTGATGTAGTTGACGTTCCAGGCAACGTTGGCCCCTTTTGGTTTGAACTTGAGCCAAAGGGCTACGGACTCTCGAGGGCAAACGACACTGGAGTTAGTTGTTCTTGTTCTGCAGCGGCTCGCCGCAAGTCAGCTTTTTTGGATTTAAATTTCGGCAATACCATCTTGGGTTGGACGACGCCTTAATTTCCTGCTGGGGAAGTCAAGGTCCCTCCAATGTTCTTGCAGCGCGGCGTCAGAGAAGTAGTTCGCCGGTTGTTAGGAACATAACTCTGTCTGCTCGCTTTGTGAGGTCCACTGACCATTGCGAAAACATGTGGCGATGGTCCAACTGCTTGCCCAAGAGATTAGCAAATTAATGCAGACTCTTGGGATGATGCCAAAGCCGTAAAAGGCTGTAGTTAGTGGGCCAGTCGAGGGGACACAATGTGGCTGTGTGTTTCGAGTGTTCTGGGGTGATTCCACCTTGAGACGGTATGATTACTTCCAGAGAAACTCGGATAGGACCAGTTGGCTGAAAGCTGTGCATAGTGGCTGGTTCGATGACACCAATCCGATAGCCACGGATCACTTCAGTGAAGCATTGGGAGGCTTGAAAGTCTTCATCTATCCCAAGGTTGGGTCCTGGGCCCTCTTATCAGCGAAGCGGACTGCCTGCAGCGTTCTGGCTCGTTGGTCTCTCTGTAGTCCAAGGATTTCGAGTGGGACAAGGTAGTACTAGTGTCGTAGGTACAGGACCCACCCTAAACCCTCCCAAATAAAACACGGGTCTACGCTTCGCTTCATCTTTACAAATCTACGAAAACACGCAGTCCTAGTATCCATATAGTAAAGCTGAGGCTATCGCCACGGTATATGTATAACCAATATCTCAAACCTCGCGTTATATAAGTCGACCGACGAAACAACTGAACATGTGCAGAAATCGGAAAAACATGTCCAAAAGATCCTCTGCCGTGCTCCACCAAAAATCGACAACAAATCATTCCATCAATGGAAACGCGCTCACTTCTTTTTCTTCTTTCAAATTTAAACACTGCAAAAGGTGTTGGCTACAAACGACGCATCTCATACGTCCATCACTTGCCTTTGATTGGCATTTCCGAGTGAATGAACCCCCGGGGTCTGGGTGGGTGGGCACTAAAATTTGCTCCACCACATTTAATCCACTTAATACCGAGGTGATCAAATAAATTCCTGAATTGTCCACTAAACAACAGGTACAACTGTACAAATAAAAACATAATCACACCGATTGGAAATAAGAACCGTATTTCCAAAAAAGGATTCATTGGATGATTTCAAACCTATTCCGTGAAACATCCACATGAAAGAATCCAATCAAAAAACAAGGAAACTTGACTCACACCTATGAGGTTAGGTTGCCAATTTGGTTTCCCCCAGAAACCCCCGAAGTTTCCTTGTCATAACTTCCGAGTATATCAGAAACAGGGTAACTTCCGAACCCTGGAAGGACACAGGACCGCGTAGCGCAATAACCCGCGTCAGACACAGAAGGGTAGATCAGACAGGTGGGCAAAACCGGACAACGCGAGTCAAGACCGGACAACCGCCGCGTGTCACCTACTACCAAATACACAGTCGCAACAGGTCGCGAATGCGTACTAGTGTCGTAGGTACAGGACCCACCCTAAACCCTCCCAAATAAAACACGGGTCTACGCTTCGCTTCATCTTTACAAATCTACGAAAACACGCAGTCCTAGTATCCATATAGTAAAGCTGAGGCTATCGCCACGGTATATGTATAACCAATATCTCAAACCTCGCGTTATATAAGTCGACCGACGAAACAACTGAACATGTGCAGAAATCGGAAAAACATGTCCAAAAGATCCTCTGCCGTGCTCCACCAAAAATCGACAACAAATCATTCCATCAATGGAAACGCGCTCACTTCTTTTTCTTCTTTCAAATTTAAACACTGCAAAAGGTGTTGGCTACAAACGACCCATCTCATACGTCCATCACTTGCCTTTGATTGGCATTTCCGAGTGAATGAACCCCCTGGCACCGAGGGACGGCCAATCACCACTTCTCAAGTTTCTGTCTTTTCGATTTTGGCAACTTCTTTGGGAGCACCCGTTTCGTCTGCTTTTCTTTCGCCAATTCAGCATGGAATTCGCTCGCATGTTTCAAGAAAGACTCCAGGACCAACCATTTCTCTCTCTTTGGATCCCATCTGACTCTCGGGAACCCCACAAACTTTTCAAAATCGTTGTTGGTGAGGTCATCTGCTAACTGGTTAAAGTCCCTCGCTATCCAATCCAAACTAAGCTCACACCGACCCAAACGCAAGGTCTCAGAAAACTCCATGATCAGCAAAGTCAAAGGAAATTTGGTACTCATCCATTTCGACAAGGCATAGGTGTTTGACTGGTTGTCAGTCTTCCCTCGCAAAAAACATGTTGCCATGTTCTTTCGCCCTTCTCGAGGCGCCCACAACTTCACCGCCACGAGACTGGCTAAGAGTTCCAGTGAAGCAATAACCCGTTTCGGATCCCGTTTCAAAAAGATCCATGGCGCCCACTCTCTATCTACTTCTTCAGAAAACCACTCAACAATCTTCCCCTGGCTGTCTTGTCTATAGCCTCCAATCCAAGCCGAATGTTCTGTAGCCTTGGCATCCGTAAAAAACAATAGATGTTCCCCGTCAGGTCCCCCCAGCGGTGGTGGGGTGTGTAAATCTCCACCTGCCTTGATCCTGTCCGCTAAGAAAAGAAGTATCGCTCTCAGCATGGCTGGGATTTTCAAAGTTCCACGCTTTCCCCTGACCGCAGCATTCCAACTATACAAAGGGCCCAAAAACGGCCGCTCCCACAACAAGGCTGATGCTGAAAAACCCAGTCTCCCCAGCCCTTGCTCAAAAACTTTCTGTGTCACCTTACCAGAGGCCGCCAAGCTTCCAACCCAATTGCACATCCAAGCCGATCGTCGTGGTGACAACCCTAACCTGAATGTGGCATAGTCAGTGTACAGGCCAATCCATTCCACCTTCTGTCCTCCCCTTTGCTTGGCCCACTTAAAAGGGAAGCCCAGTGCAGACAGATATAAAAAACTCAAGACCAGTCCTTGTCTGCCTGAAGAATCTGCACCCAAACCTTCCAAATCATCTGCAAAAATTAAAAGCTCCACTGCTCGCTCCGGCCCCAGCAATTCATGGACCAGTCTGATCCCTGCTCCTGAGATCCTCCCCCACCAGTAGCTCGCACTGGCTACTCCAAAAGTTCCACAGTTGTTGACGTACAGGAAAGGATCAGTTTCTTTGACCCTACAAGCCAAAAGACCCCGCTCTGCCGGATCGTGAAGGAAGCGCCTGTGCGCTTTGCTAATGTCCCCTACCAGACTCACCAAGGCTTTCCTCCGCTCTTTGTAGTAAGACAAAAGGTATTGTTTTTCCCTCGCTCCAGGACTGCGGGTTTTGTCTCTGCATTTGATCCTGTGGTTAAGTTTTGTACCATGAGTCGCATCATGGATGATTCTCCTTTTACCTGACTCCGCATCCTCCACCAGCACTGCCAATGAAGAGATTGCCACATGATCCCCAAATCTATGCTTTGCTTCCTCCAACAGCATTTTCTGCATGAGCCCTTCCGCACACTCCTGTTCAAAATGCTCCCTAACAAAGTCTTCGTGCTCTTGGACCGACTCATAGTTGTTTCTCCAAACTTCCCCCTGCATGAAGGGGTCTGCCTCCAACTTCCAAGCAGTCTGCTCCTCGTATATGTGAGGTGTGCGTGGCAAAGGTTTCAGGATACCTACAGGGTATCCCTCTTCTCCTTGTAGAAGAAAATCTCTGTCAGGATCCTCGCACTTCACCAATAACTCTCGCATGAGGCGCAAGAAAAAAGGTTGCCCCTCCGCCACGTTGTCCAAGTGCTCTCCCTTGCAACCATGCTCCTGTAGGAGCCCTATCCACAGTTCACGCAAGCCCTGCTTGAGCTCCTCGTTTTTTACCAAAGAACAACCAGCTTCCCCTTTGACCGCCATTTCAAAACAAGTCCTGTCCAGGTTAGTCCCTGGTGGCAAATGCTCAATTACCAGTTGCACTGTCTTTTCCCTGAGAATCTTCCAAAAATTGTTCTGTGACCAAATACGCTTCTCCACATCCCAACGCCCCATCGAAGCCAAACCTGCTCCGTCATGAAAGGCCCTTGATTTCCCCGGGGTATGACAGAATCTCGGTTCTCCCATACCTCCAACCAGCTTTCTGCCTTCGGGCTTTGAAACCGGAAAAGCAGCATTGTCCAGTTTGTCTCCAGCCCCCTCGGTTGCAGTGACAATGGTGGTTTCTTTCTGGGATGTTTTTTGCAGAAAACTTCCCAATATCTCTCCAGCAATCCATTTGCACATTTCTGATGGCCACTGCTCTGTGCCCGTAGTTTGAAAGTGTCCTGCAGAAAAACCAATGAGCTGTTTCGTTGCTGCTCTCTGCTGCAACGGGCCCATGTAGTATCCCTGGTCATCAAAGAATGGTTTCCTTGCAGAAAAAATGAGGGCAACTTCCCAAACTTGCAGAGTAAAAGTCTTGTCGGTTTGAGGTACTCTGTCCCAAAATCTTGTTGGTAAAAAGCCGCTGTTGTGATGCCCTCCTTTTTTAACAACGTGTCAAAGTCCAGCCACTGCCACATGCTAGAAGGTCTGTTTCCCTGGTTCTCTCCAGACTTCACTGCTCCCAAATCCTCTGGGTTCTCAAAAAGTGCCAATCCCTCCGTATCTGCCTGTGCAGCAAAAGCAAGAAATGAAAAATCCGCCAACACATTTCCCCAATCAGCTCTCTTTCTTTCTGACCAGGTTAGCCGTTTGAAGCCTCGTGGAAAAACAAATGACCTCACAGGTCGAGGCCCTTTTCTGTTCGCCCAAGTCGCCCGAGAAAACGTACTGCACGGCGGGCTGAGCAAAACTGCGTAGTATTGGCCAGTTGAAATTTTGCTTAACAAATATTCCCTGACTTTTGGCAGCGTAACATCCAGGTACGGTCGCACCTGGATATCCACCATCTCCACTTGCACTGTCACGCCAAGTCTCTTTGAGAGTTTTCGCAACCAAGCTGCTATTGAATTCTTCCTAGGCTTCCCGGAGAAAAGATATAGAACTCGACAAACTGATTTGCCAGAAATCTGTCCTCCACTCCTCTCCTGTTGAGAGCCTTGTCAGTGACCGGTTGTATCCGGTGCCTTTGCATCCTTGCAATTCATCGCGTTGTGGCCTTTCTTGAAGCACTTGTTGCATAGATGCGCAAACTTGCATCCCTTGTGAGTGCACTTCCCTGCATTGAAGCGAAAACATATCTTTTGACCATCGGGAGCCACCGCTGCCCCCTTTGTTGAGCTCTTGCCCTTTCCCTTTCCTTCTTTTCCTTTTGTCTTCCCCTTTCCTTTGGGGCTCCATTCTTGCTGCGGGTAAGATCTCTTGCTGTAAAGGGCCAAGGGCGTGATGAAAAATCTTTCCTTTGTCACTGGACACTTCCAAGCCTGCTCCATTGCCGCTCCTAATTTCAGTTTGTCAGTGAGCATCAGCTGATAAGCTTTCTTCCGTATCGCCTGCTCATAAGATAGCACCAGGCTCCACGGTGGAGTTTGTATTTGTTGTCCATTCAAATCAGTCGCGGACAAACCATAGACAAAGTCGCCCAAGATATAATCCTTGTAGCGGTCAAAAAGCTCTTTGGAAATGTCCTGGATTTCTTCCCTGTTGGTGTGCTTCAAAGCCAGCATAATCAAGGCATTCTGCATAACCGACAGTCTCCTGCGCAACTGCTCGGGTCCAGACGGCAACGCCACTGTTGTTGCACCTTTCTTCACTGTCAAGCTGCCCTTTGAATCAAAGACTGGAACCAAGACATCTGGATCCACCTCGTCTTTGGATACCACCTCAGCCAATGTCTCCGCCCTGAACTCCCCATTCTCCAACTCCTGCAGTTTCTTTTCCAAAAATTCTTTTGATGGCGTCACTTTGTCCTCCAGGCGTCCATGTATCTCCATGAAGGCATTGCGTAGACTTATATAGTCTCCAGTCGGGATAGGTTTGGTCCATTCCCTGGTATCCATTTCTGCCTCCACTTCCGCCTGACGTTTCATCTTCGTCTGGGCTTCCTTCCATGCACACATCACAGAAGCCACTTGCGCTCTCTGTTCCAAACCTGCAGTCGCATTAACTCCAAAGGAGTCTCGCAGCACTTCCACCAAGTCCGTTTCGGACCGGAAAAATGACGAGAATTTTTGCACTGTCGTCACTTTGTTCGTAAAAAAGGCCGCCTGCACATCATTGGACACATCGTTTCTATTCAGTGTGAAGCGCAAGTCAGTGCTCCCCAACTTCAGGGCATCTTCTATTGAAATTGGTGCCACTGCCATCGCACGACCACAACGCGTTGACAAAAGCAAGCTGATCCGCTTTTCAGAAGACCTAGTTCCTACTATCAACTAGTTGAACCTATCCACTGCTAGCTGAAATATCCTTCAAAGATTCAAAACTCCAAATCGGAAAACAGAGATGAGGAAAAGTATGGAAAAAACCGACGGTCAGTTCGCCGTTCATTTCTGTACTTTGTCCCTTTGAGCCACCCGAGGATCTGCGGATCCATCTGCTCACTTTCTTCTGTATCTTCAACTCCGGCTTATCTCAAGCATTTCTTTTCCTTTCCTCAAACTCTGACGCAAAAAACTGTCTGCTCTCACGAATGGGAAAAAGGTCGATTGCTTCCGGGAGTCTCTTCTCATTCCGGCTCCAAACACAAAACAATCACATGTTGCAAAAATTCCGGCAACAACGCATTTCAATACTCACCCCTTTCTTCCTGGCTGTGTCTAATCCGAGCTCCACGCTGTGAAACTAACATGTTGCGCATCTTACGCAGTACCAGTTTCCGGTTGCCATGTTTGACATGCAATCTCTGCGACACAAACCCTACAGGAAAACGGAAAAAGGTCCCTCCTAACTAAGTTGCAACTGGATGCACCCTGAAACAGACTCCAAAATAAAACATGTCTGTCCAAACTGTCCGTCTCCAAATGCAACTGTCCTTCCCCGCATTGGGGTTCCCTCCAAAGTGGAAGCACAAGGAGTGCCACAACATCCATGATTGCAACTTGCTTTGAAACTTAAAACAATCAAACTGACTTGCAAGTACAATCTTAGGTTTCCGGCGTCGCCTTCAACGTCCCTAAGTTCCTGTGGCCTCCATGTCCACTTTCCACATCCTACATGCTTGAAGGACCTTTGAAATTAAATCGGTGAAAAATGCATGATGCTACTGGTCTGCATTCCTAACTGCAACGGCCAACTCATGTATCCAGCTGACTCAATCACTACTTTCTGAAGAAGAACTCTGAGAGTTTGACGAAGATGTGGATGAACTCGATGAGCTCGACTCCTCCAGGTTCTCAAAAGATTTTGGCCAGCACACCTTGCAAACGTGCGTGAAACAACTTTTGTCTGGCATCTCCCTGAACTCTTCCGATGACTTGAAAACCCTTTCTCTACCCATCCAGCATCCTCCCTTCACCTTGTGCAGCCGCTTGCAACGGCCATTAACTGCCACTACTATGTAAGCTGCATCACGAGCTTCTCTCACTTCTCTCTCTGGTTCTGTCTCTACTGTTTTCACCCCAGTGGCCTCTGAGTTTTCAACATTACTTGAGTTTTCGCCATCCATAGTTTCCCAAAGACCCTGTGGTTCCCAGCGCATTGAGTCCTCCAACCACTGGACTGCCGCTTTGATGTCAGGATCACTCCAAACATCCACTCTGTCAGTCAACCATGAGATCGCTGATTCAAGAATTTCCTGTTCATCCAGAATACGAAAACGTCTTCTGTCTCTAGCTGCCTTTGCAAACTGCTGCTGCAACTTTGTCACAACCCCACTATACATACGTATGTAAGTGTCCGACCCATCAGGCTTCCAACGTCCCAGCAAATCACGCTCTTCCTTAGGAATGCGTAATAGGGCCAATCCTGTCGGCAAGGTTGCACGCTCCGAATGTTCAGTCCAAAAGGTTGACAGTATTGGGTCCATTTGCTGCTGCTCTGTTCCATGACGTTTCAAAACCTTTCGCAGTCGTGCAGAGTATGACACCACATCATTGTATGAGGCCATCACCTTTCGAAAGCCTCCCAAGTCTGCTGTCAACTTCGGAAGTAAATAATCCCTCCGGAAATCTGCACCTTCCTTCAGCAAATCAAAACCTGTCTTCAACCAAAATGGTGATGCAATGTAAGCAAACTCTGAAATGCAAAGTGGAAGCTCTTGGACCCTTTTTGTGGGGCCTGTAGTCTTTGTTACCCTCAAAATGGCTGTCAATCGGTTCCCTGAATAACGCAGCTCACTCGGTGAGATCTTCTGCACATCATCCCATCTCAGGGTTCCCCAAGATTTCACCAGTTTGATCCAGGCTACTACACGCAATCCAGCTACCAACGTCTGGTCCTCCACAGCCTCTTCCAATGCTTCCAGCATTGCCGACGGATACCTCGGGGCCCTTTTCAAGGGTGGTGAATCTTTTGAAAGCATTTCTACAATGTAGTCCCTGACAGAAGCAACCACCTGGGATGAGCCCACCTGATCATCCCTTCGCACACATGCAGTCTTCTCCATCCATGTGACTGCTTTGACTATCAGAACCGGCACTGTCGGTCCACATGGCTCATCGTACCTGCAGAATAAATATTCCACTAAGTCTCCAGCTGTACCTGCCACGTAGGAACCCTTCACCGCTTCCATCCATTGCAACCATAGTTTCCAGGCCTTGACATACCTCTTCAAAGTCGAGGCGCGTGTCCTGCCTGCTAAAGCTAGATGCAAATGTTTTGCGCTGACACAGTGCTCCAACTCTCCAAGTGCAGGGGCATCCATCTTCTTAAGCTCCAAGTACAACTCCTTGGCCCAACGGTCTTTCGTTTCCGTCTCCTTCTTGGCACGGGCTTGAGCCTCATCTGGATCCAGAAACTGCTGTCTCTCTGGTCTCTCTGAAACGAAATGTTGAGTTGAAGCCGCTGCCGTACTACCACCTGAAGGTTTTCCAGATCCAATCTGAACCTTCCTATCTTGCAAAATCTGTGCATGCAGTGGATCCAAAATGTGGTCCCCTCGAAGCCGCTTGTTTAAAGGTTCACATCTTCTGGCATCTCTGATCCAAACCTCCATATGTTGTACAAAAACAGCCTCGCAAATAATCCCTAGTTCAGCACACACTTGACTTGCAATCTCTGTAGCATCATCTTCAGTGAAAACTGCCAGCTTCTTCCCAACCAATCCTTTTTGTTCCAAAACCTGCCAGAGTCGCCGGAGCCTCTGCTCCAAATCACCGTCCAGATCCATGAGCCTTCCTAGAAGGCTGGGCTAGCCGAAACCCCTGCACTAAAATTTGCTCCGGTGATCAAATAAATTCCTGAATTGTCCACTAAACAACAGGTACAACTGTACAAATAAAAACATAATCACACCGATTGGAAATAAGAACCGTATTTCCAAAAAAGGATTCATTGGATGATTTCAAACCTATTCCGTGAAACATCCACATGAAAGAATCCAATCAAAAAACAAGGAAACTTGACGCACACCTATGAGGTTAGGTTGCCAATTTGGTTTCCCCCAGAAACCCCCGAAGTTTCCTTGTCATAACTTCCGAGTATATCAGAAACAGGGTAACTTCCGAACCCTGAAAGGACACAGGACCGCGTAGCGCAATAACCCGCGTCAGACACAGAAGGGTAGATCAGACAGGTGGGCAAAACCGGACCACGCGAGTCAAGACCGGACAACCGCCGCGTGTCACCTACTACCAAATACACAGTCGCAACAGGTCGCGAATGCTTGTCACTTCCTGCAGGTGTTGCAGTGCACCTCCTTGGGGAGCGAGAAAGCAGGGCGCAATTTTGCTGGCCCAGCTCGCCGGGACCACGCCAGGAGTGCTGAGACACTACTTGTGAGGCCAATACCCCCGTGAGGCCGTTCATGCGGCTGAGTGGTCACTGTAACCTTAACTGGGCCACTGGGCGCGCAACTTCGATTCAGTACCGTTTCCGTAGCTGCTCCGCTGAGTTCTGACAGGATTGGCCGGAACCAATAGGTTGCATACAGTAAGCACTCAGTTTCGGGCGTGGCCAAGGTAGCGGCATGCCTTATAAGTGAACAAATATACTTAGCAAGTCTCTCCGCTAAGCGGATCGAGCACTTCTTGCCACTACTTGGAACGTTTCTGAACGTCCTCTCAGCCACAACTCCGCAGCAATTGTGTGGAAGAGTTTGGCAAACTTCTTCTTGGAAGGGAGCCAGGGAGATCGTCAGTTTGGCCTGGAGCCACAAAGCCGGCAGCGCACCTAGGCTACACACGAGGTATGTGCCCTCTCTTGCCGCAATTGTGGCAAGTAATGCCTTCAGACCCTTGCTTTGGCCCTGTAGCCACATGCACCCTGCTGTCAAGGTCATTGGTGAGTCTCATTCTTGTGTGGTATGCCACCAGAGACTCCCAAACTCTGGCCACTGTTGTTGCACCACAGTGAAGCTGCACGAACTCTGCTACCCTGTCTGGCAAGTTTCGAATGTAGAGAAGGTATTGCTCCCCCTCATTGATGCGCAAGTCAGTCAGCTGACCAGCGATCAGTGAAGCTTCCAGCATAGAGTGAAATCCTTCGATCTCAGCCCCAATCTCTCTCAGTACATCCATAAGAAGATGCCTCTCTGACTTCTTCACGGTGTACTTCAGGCAGGCTTCTCTGTATTGCAGCGCCTCTGGACTGCTCATCAAACTGAACTCCCTGCGCAGCAATCTCAAAAGCTCAAAACCATTTGCCTCCTGAATGCCATAGAATGCAATCTGAGATTTCACCACGTTGTCTACCCTAGAGTATCCAGAAAAACTCTGCTGAAGTAAATGAAACAATCGACGGCTTCGAATTGCTTGGTCTTGACTCACTGTCACCACAGGGTATGGCAAGTTCATAGCTTCCTTGAGCTCTGTCGCATAGCTATCGTGGACAAGACACAGCCATGATGCAAACTTCTCTAACCAACCCTTGAAACCAGCTAACTCTCTTAGCTTGCCCTGTTGTTCCAAGACTTCCAGTCAGGCAGTGGTGCTGCTGGAATCCAGTTTGTGTCCATTGTCAACCTCTCAGACTGGCCTGTAGAGTTCTGCGCTACTGTTGGTGTCTGCTGCACTGGTTGTTGTTGAAGTCCAGGACCTGTACGGTATTGAATATCCATAACCCCTTGGGTTAGCAACATCTGTTGGCGCAGCATCTGTGCCATCACTGGGTCTACTGCTGTGACAGTGGTGGATGCCTGTGCTGGGCCCCCATGGCCAGTAAAACCAGAATCTAAAAACCCTGGCGGCATTCCAAACGTGGCAGCTGAGTTGCCACTCTGTCCACTGCTTCCAGTTTGCCAGGTTCCTGTGCTGCCACTGGAGTGGCTTCCTCGCAAAACTGCAGGACTGGTACCTGGTAAAAAACTGATCCATGGTGTCGTTGCTGCCCATGGGTCTCCAGGCCCTTGCAATGGGTCACAACCCCCTTCCAGATGATTGCAATGGATCTAAACTTGAACTCAGTCCAGGTCCCAACACCAGAGGTGGGCCTTGTTGCGGCCCTGCCATGTTGTACACGGCCCCCTTCTCCAGAAACCATCCCTGCAGGCGCACTTGCCGAACCTCCTGGGTTCACAGTGCTGCCTGGTGATGTACTTGGACTCATTGGCGCAGGTCCAGACATCTTCACAGGTTCAGATCTCTTAAGATCTCTTCTAAAACCTTCTCAACAGACCAGTGTCGATCTTTCACAGATCACAGCAACCTCTCTTTGCGTCTGCCCCTCACCCTCAGGATCACTGGGGCTCCGCTACCATGTGAAAACACGAGAGCGGCGTGGCAGCTCTTTTTCACAGCTCGGACTTGAGCCAAACCACACAGGTTTGACAGCTCAGTCACTCTTCTTCTTAGAAGAGTCGTGCAGAGTAAAACGCAGTGACACTCAAACGTTCTCAAACTTCTCAAACTACTTCACAAGAGTTCTCAAGCTTCAAAAACGTTCTTCCAGCTTCTCCAAATAAAACGTCTTCAGCTCAAACTCGCAAATAACCTACAAAACTCCTACCAAATAAGTTCACAACATCACAACATCAAGTTCCTAAGACATGGGTCAAACAACATCCAAAAACACCAAAAACCACAAAAACAAACGAAAATCCATCTCCAAGCTCTTCCATGCACAAACTGGTTCCATTTGGCTCCAAATTGGTTCCTACCTGGTTCCTGTAGGTTCCTATGGGTTCTATAGTTCACAGATCGGTTCCTACAAACTTAAAAATGGTTTCCTAACTGTTCACATGCACATGCATTGTTCCAAGATAGGTTTAAAGATGTTCAAGTAGGTTCAAGGTGGTTACACTGTACATCCTCTCACCAAACTTTCACAGGGCACCACCTCTAATCCTCCGATGAAACTTCGGCGCTGGTATCTTCATCGTCGACAGTTCTTCGTTAGAAGAAGGGTCAGCCACTGCGTCGCCTGCCCCTTCTGGCTCTGGAGGATTCCTGCGCGGAGGTGAAGCTGAAGCTCAGGGGCAGTTAGGAGGAGTGCTTCTAGACGAAGTGCATCAAAATAGTGAATGCCTAGAATGGCTATGATCTTTTTTCTCGTGAATAGCCTGATGGAAAATGGAGCCTCGTGCCACGTTGCCTACTGGGGGGAGATACATGACGTATCTGACTTTCAATGTCATTTTGGAACCAGTTTTTGGGAGCCAGCGAGCACTGTTTAGAATTCTTTAAGCATCTTCTGTGTCCAAGCGGAACTATCAATCATTGGTGATTGCCTATCCTACAAATTTGGTGGCCCCCGCAGCACGTTATGATTTTTTTGTGTGGCCAGCGCAGCATTTTCAGCAGCTAAGGCTCATTTCGCGTGTCAGGCGCAGCACTTGAAGCACGTTATGATCAAAAAAAGGGGCACGCGGCTGTAGGAAAACCTGCAATCGTAACGTGCTTTGCGCGTTTGAAAAAGTTAAAATAGATTATTCTTTCTGTTATGATTGGGTGTGCGCGTGTGGCGCGGTGACAATTTTGGATCGTAACGTGGTCTCCCGTTGTGGCGCGGTGCGAATTTTGTGAACAAAGTGGGCTGGCGTTGTGGCGCGGTGGCCATTTTCGATCGTAACGTGGTCTCCTGTTGTGGCGCGGTGCGAATTTCAGAGGAGGCCCGCACATGCGAAGCCTGATTTCAATTGACTTTCCGGCCCCAGAAATGGAACCTGAAATTCACATGTGGTATCAGCTGTCTCCGTTCCCTAACTCCAATGTGGCGATTTGCGATGCAGCAACACCCAGGGAACATTCACCAATCCTTCGCTACTCCGCGCTACTCCGCTACTCCGTGCTATGTTTTAATTCAATTACCCAATGTAATTGACACGATATCGAAACGATGGCGGAGTAAGAAAGCCTTCAATACTTTACCTTTTTTAAATTTAATTAATAACGGGATTGACTGAAAAGATCATGATTCATCTTCTTTCTCGGCTGAAAACTTCGGTAGGAGTCTAGAGGGGCAAGGGGGCCCAACAAGGGGCAGTAGAGTATTCAATACAATCATTCAAATGGAAGCCGGCCACCTGCGCGAAAACCCACAAACTCCGCAACAGCAAGAAACACCTCAAGCAATCACCTAAGGGCTGCAAAAGGCTGATGGGCCTTCTTTTAGCGGCAAACAATCAAGCCACCAGACGCAACGAAATTTTAAGAAGCTAACTTCAAGTGGGTTCAAGCACCAACCGATGTGCACCCCGCTTGCCCCAACCAGAAACAACTTCGAGTCGCCATAAGCCACAAAGTTTCATTGAAACCAAAACTTTGCGCTTCTGTAGAAGGTACACAACCTTCGAAACCCTTGGGTCAGCGTCCAGGACGTCGTCCTTAACTCACTAGAACCGTCCACGCTACCAAGTCAACCACTCCCAGAGCTCAGCCACTTTTACCAAACACACAAGCACAGAAAGATGTTTGCTCATGTCGCTATGGTTCTTGTTGGTGTGTCACGCCTTGACACAAAATGATGCGGAGTCGCCAGTCAGCATCTTTCTGCTAACTTTCACAAAAGCGATCAAAAACACATGTCCTCACAAAAAGTCTTTACATCAAGACATGGTTTGTTTGTTTAAATAAGTTTGAGTGTTTGAAAAACGTTGAAACATTTCAAGCACCAAAACATGATTCATGATGTCTCCCTCAGATCTGTTAGCAACTCCAGTTCTGAATGCCTTTCAGAACGTTGCTCTCGCTATCATCATTGAGAGACAAAACACACTACTCTTCTCCAATCAAT